CCCGGATTCATCGGGGGTAGAATGGTCAAGTGGCTCAAACGCATCGTTGTCACAACCCAAGAATCACAAAATTATTACCATTTCAAGGACAACAGAGTGTTGCCCTCTCATGTCGACGCAGAGCTAGCCAACGCCGAAGGTAACTTACTTAATTAAAATCAAATTACATTAAATTTTTTTTTGGAATTGATTGATTGATTTATTGAATTAATTAATTAATTAAATGCGTATATGATTATGAACATGCAGCATGGTGGTACAAGCCGGAGTATATAATCAACGAGTTGAACATAAACTCGGTCATAACGACGCCGTGTCATGAGGAGATTTTGCCCATCAACTCCTGGACCACTCAGAGGCCCTACACGTTGAGAGGCTACTCTTATTCCGGTGAGCCGCTGCCTCTGCCGCAGTTCTTTTTATTATTTAATTATGTAATTAATTGATTACGAGTCTCCCCAGTCCTCTCGCTTTTGGAATAAGTTGGATACCATTTTTTAATGCTACATTCACGTTGTTGGTTATTTTTTAATTAGATTGTAATTATTTTAATAATATTTATACTTTGGGAACCAATCGAGTAGGTGGGGGAAAGAAGGTGACACGTGTGGAGGTGACAATGGACGGTGGAGAGACGTGGCAGGTGTGCACATTGGACCATCCGGAGAAGCCAAACAAGTATGGAAAATACTGGTGCTGGTGTTTCTGGTCGTTGGAGGTGGAGGTTCTTGACCTGCTCGGCGCCAAGGAGATCGCCGTCCGCGCTTGGGACGAAACCCTCAACACCCAGCCCGAGAAGCTCATCTGGAACCTCATGGTATGTTGGATAATAAATATTTGGTATTAGGACGAAAATGGTAATTAATTAATTAATTAATTAATGGGGTATGTTTATGTTATGTTCAGGGAATGATGAACAACTGCTGGTTCCGAGTGAAAACGAATGTGTGCAAACCCCACAAGGGAGAGATCGGAATAATCTTTGAGCACCCAACTCTACCTGGGAACCAATCTGGCGGATGGATGGACCGGGAGAGACATCTAGAGATTTCTTCCGAATCCAACCAGACCCTAAAGAAGAGCGTGTCCACCCCATTCATGAACACCACCCCCAACACCTACTCATTATCCGAAGTCAAGAAGCACAACTCTCCCCAGTCCGCCTGGATCATCGTCCACGGCCACGTCTACGACTGCACCCGCTTCCTCAAGGACCACCCCGGTGGCTCC